ACAGTGTATGATAAGAAGCGTTACGTCATACACTATTGCAACCTGCAACAGTGCACGTGTCATGGGCTTCGCGTGACAAAGATACACCGTGTATTGGAGTTTTCGCAATCTCCATGGCTCCGCGATTACATCGAGCTTAATACTCAGTTTAGAACACGTGCGACAAACGTTTTCGAAAAAAATTTATACAAATTAATGAACAACGCGATATTTGGCAAAACAATGGAAAATGTACGGAATCATGTCGACGTTAAACTTCTAACAAAGTGAGATGGTCGTTACGGTGCGGAGGCAATGATCTCGAAACAAAATTTTCATAATTTCATAAGTTTTATCGACCTACACTGGCTATAGCGATTTTTGTTGACCGTATCAAGCTATTAAAATTCTTATTGCGAAAAATATTACCCCAGCCAGGATTCGAATCTGGGACCTCCCTACACGTCCGTGACGGGCGTCTTAGCCAGCTCGATCACCGGGGCTGTGATAATATTATACGCAATAACGTGTATATAACTTTAAGATGTTGTTTACGCGTCTATTTCGACTTTCCAGAAACTGTGCGTCGATACGGATTGTCGACCGCACAATAACCTGTCGATAAGCGATTTTTAGAATTTCCCTTTTCCCTTCCCTCCCACTGATCCCATTCCTCCTAACGGAGGAAACAAATTTTCATAGTCGCAGCATCTTTTCAGAAAATTTAATCGCCGTAGAATTGCGAAAACTCGAAGTGAAATTCAACAAGCTAATCTACGTGGGTATGTGCATCCTCGACATATCCAAGATCTGCTTGTATGAATTTCACCATGAATACATGCTGCCCCTGTACAGTGACAAGTGTAGAATCATGTATACTGATACCGACAGTCTCATATACCACGTCAAGTGCGAGGATGTATATGAGACTGTGAAACGCGATATACACAGATTCGACACGAGCGATTATCCGGTTGACAACGCGTATGGCATATCGCTTGTAAATAAGAAAGTGCCCGGTCTAATGAAGGATGAAAACAATGGCGCGATAATGACGGAATTCGTGGGACTCAGAGCGAAAATGCGTTGCGAGTCGATGGTAAGAAAGACACAAAGAAGGCTAAAGGCGTAAAGAATAATGTAGTAGCGCGAACGATAACGTTCGACGATTACACACATTGCGAGACGAGATCGAGATGACGCGTCAGCAGTCGTGTATACGATCGAAGCTGCATCAAGTGTACTCTGTAGCCGAAACGAAAATCGCTCTGAGTCCATACGACGACAAGCGATACGTCATGCCTTTTTTTGTGTGGAAACCCTTTATGGGTACCCGGGCCCCCTGGGGAAGGAGCCCGGGTTATGTGGGACTGCCCTCCTAATGTCGATCGGAGTGCGCCCGGCAAGCGTGCCGGGCGCGTGGCCTACCCACTAAAACCACACGGCGATCTGCGCTGTGCTTTATGATAGGGGGGCGGACAGGGTTTGACAGAGTCATTACGTCTGCACCGCCCCCCACACGGGCCTGCCGTTGTTATTGGCGGGCCTCAGCGCTTCCCCCCTCCAGAGGGGGGGGGCCCATCCCTCATCTCACAATGAGATGAGCGATAGGGGCCCCCTTCTCTTGATGGGATGCAGGGACCGCGCCTGCATCCCAACCTTCCCCGTGGGTTGTGACATGAGGGAGGAGTGTCCCCACACTCCCCCTCCAACCCACAGAGGTCCCCCCCGGACGGCAGGCATGGAGGATGCCTTAACGCATTCCCCCGCCGCCATCCGGGGGGGTCCACCACCTCGCCACCGGTTTGCACCCCGGTGGCAGGTGTCGGGGGGTGAGAGGCGGCAGGGGCGAGAGTGCAGAACGCCCACTCGACCAACCCCCCAACCCACCCCCCCCTAGCGGGCTAACCTTGCCCGTTGTTGGGGGGAGGGGAGGACGACATGTCCGTCCCCTCACCCCCGGATGCCGACCCCCTCCAAGGGGGTCTGCCGGGAGGGAGTGTTGGGTCGCTCCTCACCCTCCCGCTGTTCCCTCCGGGTGCTTCCCCGCACCCCTTTTCGCCTAGGGTGTGCCGGGAGGGGATCCCAAGGTCCGAACAGAGCGGACATTTCGGGACCCCCCTCCGGCACCCTCCATCGTGTGCCTCTCGGCACCGCAGCGGTAGCATCTACCGCTGCGGTCCGTCTTCGCGGTGCACCCCCGCTGCACGTGCCCCTCGGCAAGGCAGCGGTAACACCTCTGAGGGCCGGGTCGCCCCGCGAGTTTCACCCTCGCCCACGCGAACCCGACCCTCACCGCCCCCACGCGCGCGATTGCACGCGCCACTCTCACGGGGCATCGCACTATCGCGGTGCCCCCCTGTCGGGCGTGGGAGGAGGGGGGACGCGCGATAACGCTCACGCTCACCTCCTCCTCCCGGCAACCCCCCTCCCGGGCGATGGCCTGTGCGGCCATCTCCTCCGAGGACGAGTCGTCCAGCCCGGTTATCCGCAGCGATGCGAACTTTCCGGGCCGGGCGACCCGCACCCCCATCCCCTCCAGGGCTGACTGGAGCCGGCAGGCCAGGTCGTCCGCCTTGGCCTGCCTGTTGGCCCCGGGGATCTCTAGCAGGGGACTCCCATTTGCCGCCCCGCGGCACGTCATGCCGCCGATCCCCAGGCCCTCCAAGGAAACTTTCTCCTTCGCGGCCCGGAGAACGGCGGCATACGTCCCCCCTCCTCTCGTTCCCTTCGGAACGAGGAGGGAGACGGCCGCGGTCGCCGGTACGCGGGGGAGCACACGCCGACAGGCGTTCCCCCGCCCATCGCGCCCCCCCAACGCCCCAGCCCCCGTCCCCCACTCCCTCCTCTCTTCCCCTTGCGGGGCTGCTGGGGGGTGGGAGAAGAGGAGCTAGACTCTCCTCCCCCCCGCTATCGTCCCGTTTCTCGGGACCTCCTCCCTGGAGGAAACTCCTGTAAACAGGAGCCTGAGCCTCCTGTCGGCGGCCTCCTCGGCCAGCCGGATGACCTCCTCTCGGAGGCCACTCGGCCACCCCGAAGGGGCCGCCGACTTCTCCTCTTCATGAAGGAGGGGGGTTCTTACCCCCCTCCCCTCCTCCTGGCAGGGTTGCCCCTTGTCTGCCGCTTTGGCGGGAGAGGTCGCCCTCTCCCGCTTCTCTCGCGGAGGGGGTGTCTGCGTGGACGCCCCCTTCGTTACCCCCTTCATCCTCGCGGGGGAGGTCGTCCTCTCCCGCGTTTCTGTCGGCGGAGGCGTCTGTGTGGACACCTCCTTTCGCTCGCCTGGTGTCGTCTGGGTCCCAGACGGCACCGTTTCCGCGGGCAGAGTCTGCGTGCCCCTTGACACTCCAGGGGGCGCCATCTCCGCCTGCATCCTCTCCATCTCCTCCCTGGCTGCCGCTCTTGCCTCGGCCACCACGTCCTCCCTCGCCCGCTCCATGCCCTCGGAGCAGGCCCTCAGGATTTCGGCCTGGGCCTCGAGCAACCTGGCATTCTCCTCCTCCAGAGCCTTCAGCTGCTTCGCGAGGTCTTGCCTCTCCGCCCACATGAGGTAGACGGTGACCGTCGCTCTCTCAACGTCTTGAGTGAGGCGGTCCCTCTCCTTCATCGGGACCTGGATCGCTAGTCCCAATTCAGTCGTGGCTGGCTCAAATCGACGGCGATGCTGCAACAAACCGTCCAGCACCGCCACCATCAGCACCTTATCAATCGGCCCGTCGGTCTCCTTGAAGGCCTCCCGATAATAGCCGAGCCACGACTCATCGCCGGCCAGGTAGCGACCGTAGGCCATCTCCATCTCGTCTAGCAAGGTTTCCTCCTCGCCAGACTCCTCGTCGGACTCTTCCGAGCCCTCCGAGTCCCTCTCCTGGGCCAAGAGGCCCATAGGGTCTTCCCTCAGCCTCTTGTCCACCGCCTCCTGCCTGGCCCTTTCTTTTTGGACCATTTCCACCGCTCTTGCTCTCAGCTCGCGCCTCCTCCTCGTCCTAAGACGAGCAGCAGTGTCGCAAGCGGAGCCGGCGCCCTCCTCCTCGAGGGTCTTGTTCCCCCCCTTACCCCGGGTTTGAAAAAGACTGGCCATTTCAAATAATCCCCTCCACCCGCGGCGGCTATCCCGGTAGGGCATGCCCTCCTCCCCCATCTCTGGGGGAGGCCCCGAGTACTCCCGGGGACCGGGATATGGCTCTGGCCGGGGGAAATAACATCCCCGGCACTGGCCTCCAGCCCCCTACTCACCCCCCCGCTACAGGGGGGCTTTCGGGGGTCCCGAGCCTCCGACCTCTCGGGCACCGCCGCGGGCGCTGCCACGCGGGGGGGTCCCACGGACGGTTGGGGTGCCAGGAGCGGCCCGTCCTCCCAACGCCTTGCCCGCCGTGGCGACCAGCGCCTGCTTCCTCCGCCGGAGGGCAGTCCTCGCTAGAACGCGAGGGCCGTCGCAAGGGACCCTCCGGCAGTGGGTGCAATGGGGGCGTGACACCCCCAATGTCCCCCTCATCCGAGCAGACTGCCGCCGCAAGCCAGGGGAGAAAGACTCCCCCGGCCCCAGCGACAGCCCCCCGCCAGCGGCCCCCCGGACCCCGACCTGGGAGACGTCCCAGCGGCTCCGGAGGGCCCCGTGCCGCCGAGCCCCGCCTCGACTTTAATGTCCTCAGTGTCAAATTAGCTCTCCACGATACAAGACACGCTGACACGCTCGTTAAATGTCTTACTGTCTGCGACAACTACGACTCTTGACCACGTTCTTCTTTTATAAATTTGTTAACCGTAAGTGTAAGCGAGTTGCGTCCTTTTATTATATTATTATATATACTTATTCTATTATATTTAATATTGTAGATTTCTGGCTACCACTAGTAATGGGCCGTACTTGATAAGGACCAGTATTACTGGCCGAAACGTCGTACATTCTTTAATTGAAATATACTTGGCCAGTTATAGTCGTGAACTTTTTATATTTGGTGTTTTTATTCACTGGCGATCCACCTTACTGATTGTATGTTTAATAGAATAAATACATTCTTTAAAAATTAAAGCATATTTTTCTTGTCTATCCACGAGTTATGCGATCCAGCGAATCCCAACCATTTCACATAAACCTTGTCACCCTTCCTGCGCAGCACTTTTTCTACGAGATACACATCCGGATAAGTCGCGCGATGCAACTCGTACTCGTAGAATGCTCCAGCGACGGGTTCTCCACGATAATCCTTGAGTAGATACGTTACGGGATTGGTGCGCTGTACTGTAACGATTTTAAACACCTCGGTGGTCCAATTTGGTGTATAAACCTTCTCAAACACCGTCTTGTATCTACCAACGCGTACCGCGTCACCCACTTTGAACTTTGCCGGACCAGCGATTTTTACGTGGCTGTACACCGTTTTCAGGAGCCTGTTAGCAACCGCAGGGGTAACGTCGACGGGTCGCATGCCGATGGTCCTGTGCTTGCATGCGTTGTACTCTGCAATGAGGTGTGGTAATAAATCTATCCATTTGTAACTTCCATTGAGTGTAAACATCTTCCACATGGCGTTCTTCAATGTGCGATTGAACCGCTCGATGACCGATGTTTTATTAGCCGTTTCGCTTCCACCTTTAGTCTTAAGCGGCATAGCCCAAGCATGCTTGCTCTGCACATCGATGACTGTAAGCATGTAGTGGTAGCCTCTGTTTAAACGTGAGTATGCACGCATATCAACGAGGTCGGCTTGCCACAAATCATCGTATCCTCAAACTATGACGCGTCTTCGTGGAAAATTCTTTCTCGCCGGAGCATGCAGCTCCTCGACGAGCCGTCGCTTCTCAGAACCGTTACGTCCATCGGATTTTGATGGTCTCATGTCTCAACAGTGTGTAATCTTTGACGTAATAATATGCGCAAAGAGGGTACCATGCGATATATGTTTTCTAACAGCTCCGAATACAGACCGGTTTCCGAAATACAGATCTGTTTCCAAATTATAGACCTGTTTCCGAAATACAGACCTGTTTCTGAAATACAGACCTGTTTCAGAAATACAGACCTGTGTCCTCTACCCGTTTATTTCCGATTGCAGTCGTCATCCAATAGCCATTCATATCCGTTTTTGTAGTTCATGGTTATCCGATAGCCGCTCGTTAACCGTTTCTAATCTAGTGATATTTGCATGCCAGAGCTCGTTTACAGCGATCTGTAAAGCTTGCAAATTCTTCTCCAACGCAATCAGCTTCTCGTCAGACTCGTTCCTCAACGTTACAACGCACTGTTCCACGTACAGTTTGTTTACAGCGTCGGTATTAGCCTCAGGTTGCGCTACACGACGAATCTTGCATGATCTTGCATCGAATTCCGTAGCAGCGCGACAGAGAGCGTTATGATGCACGTAACTTCTCATCAATCCGCTCCAGCGATTGTATGAAATGTTATCGGTTGTACCTCTTCTCCCTTCGGATAGTCCAAATTTGTCGATAGGCATTTTATCAACGCGAGCGACACCAATCGACTGATTCTTTCCGATGATACGCGAGTTAATTTATAATAAAACCAGCTTCGCGAAGTTCCTCGATAATCGATAGCATCTCGTTGTCGTGAGCGTTGTGGCCGGCTCGGCGCGAAGCATCGAGGAATCGTAGGCGATCCACAAGCTCATTGGGATCGTCCCAGTGCACGTAATCGATCGCATTGTCGTTTAGTGCCATAGAGTGAAGTAATCCTTTTCCAGATTTTGTCCTTGGACCGAGTCTTCATTCCTTCGTCCAGCATTAACGGTGCGATTATGTGGTTGTACTTGTGCCCTCTGGTACCAATTTTCTGACCTTGCGCGCTGTAATTGCGCCTGTGCGCATTCGTCGCCAAAAGTATGCTCTTGTACTTGTTTAGATCATCCTTTGTGTACGCGTCATCGTCGGGTAGTTCTTGAAAATCAGCTCGTAAAGACCGGGCGTACCTTTGTATCGCACACCGTCGAGAATTATATTATCGTTGCTGTCTACATCGAACCGTTTACTGCCGAACCTCATTCCATCCTTGTCGAGATGAACGAGTGAGTCCCGATTGCGCACATAACCGATCGGACACGGCAATATTTCCCGATCGGACACAGTCCCGATCGGACACAGCCCCAATCGGACACAGTCCCGATCAGACACC